TCACTTATATGTGATTTGCTTTTGGATTTTGCAATTTTATTTAAAAGTACTATTATAGTAAAAATAACGAATAATAAGAACCGATTATAGTTCTCCTGATCTGTATGCACATTAATTAATGAAACTTATTTCTAACTCAACACTTATTTATGACTTAAGTCTTAATTAAAAAATATTTTAGTGCTTTTTGCAAAAATTGTTTTAGAAAGCAAATAGTCGGAAAGTACAGCAATGAATGCATGAATGATGCAATAATTAAAAGTAATTGACTTGGAACAAATGAATCTAGCGCGATAATACTGAGTACCCATTTTAACTATGGGTACAGAAAAATTTAGAAAAAAAAAATTTAAAATATTTTTTATGCAACGAGTCGGGAGAAATGTATTTTAAAGTGCTAAGCTATATTTTTTGTTATCATATATATTTATATTCTCCTCTTATAAGTATATAATCAATTTTTTTTGTCATGCAAAGTACTGCATTTATTAAAGATTATGTTATTTTTTTAATTTTATTTTCCCAAAATCCAATCACATACAATTACTTTGCGACAATATTTAATATTATAAGAACACAATGTTTTATACAATATAAGAATATTTCGTCTCGTGTCAAAAATATTTCAAAACATTAACAGTGTTGACTTTGATGTATGATAAACTAAATATTTATCCAAATATTTTAAAATATATATTCGTTTCGCCCTTGATTTAAAAATTATTCTAAAAAAATGTATATTTGTATATATTAGTGTTTTTTTACGCATTCGTTATTACGCCTTTCAGTTCCCCAGACTGACTAATTGTCACTTTATATTCTCCCATTAAGTGTTTTTGGACTTGCCGTCATAATATATATACTCACACGTACTGAAAGCAATTTGACACTTTGCCAACAATTTTAGTCCATTTGCACGAATTATTTAGCATATGAAAAATTAATATTTAATAATTTATAAAGTAAATAATTAAAATATTAATAACAAATAATAGAAAATATATAAACATTATATGACTTACAAAAAGTATTTGTTTGTTTTAAGGCATATAGTTTAGCTATAAAATTTTTAGTTGCTATTAATAATAAAAAAGTCTAATAATAACCATATAACTGAAAGACGGGTATGATTAAAAGTAATACAAAACATGGGTAAAGTTTTTACAAGGAAATTTTTGAAAGGATATCGAAGGCAAACATATTTATCTATTCATTCATAGCCAGTTTACTGAAAACACGTAATTCAGAACTCTTAAAATAAAAATGTTTTATTAACCTTTTTAAACTCAAATTTTATAATTTTAACTCGTTGTTTCCCAAGACCAAGATATGTTATCTAGGAGATAAACAAGTTGCATATTTAAACTTAGTAGACCCAAATAACCTAGAACTTTTAAAACTGAAGTTTGTTGAAAAGACTTCATTTCTATCCCACAGTGTTATAGTTGGAAATATTTTTAACATTTTGTAATCGTAAGTATTTCAATTGGAAGTAATCGGACAGACTTAAACTTGCCATTTTTCACATATGTTACTTCCTCTATATCTCAGTAAGTTACTGAGCCGTTTCTGCTCAGACACGAAAAAATTCGCATGGAATGAGAGAGAAAATGTGGAAGGGAGTTATATTGGGGTTACTAAGACGGAACTTGCTTAGCGCTACGGTATTGGTGCTACAGGGCATATTTAAACTTAGTAGACCCAAATAACCTAGAACTTTTAAAACTGAAGTTTGTTGAAAAGACTTCATTTCTATCCCACAGTGTTATAGTTGGAAATATTTTTAACATTTTGTAATCGTAAGTATTTCAATTGGAAGTAATCGGACAGACTTAAACTTGCCATTTTTCACATATGTTACTTCCTCTATATCTCAGTAAGTTACTGAGCCGTTTCTGCTCAGACACGAAAAAATTCGCATGGAATGAGAGAGAAAATGTGGAAGGGAGTTATATTGGGGTTACTAAGACGGAACTTGCTTAGCGCTACGGTATTGGTGCTACAGGGCCACTGCATAATAGCGAGGTGTGCTATGAATCTTGGTCTACCTTATAATGACTTGTCATGGCTGTGGCTCTGAGAATGAGCAGGAAACTATGTTCCATCTCATGTGTCAGTTTCCATCTTTAGCCAGAAATAAATCAAAAATCTTCGTGGTTTCTTTTTTTTACCGATTTGACCGTGCTGCCATCCTGTAATATTAGGGCATTAACCAAAAGTCATAGAATTGTCAGGTTTACCTTTACCTAATGTGGGAGTCGTTGCTTCTTCTACGTTAGTTGTATACTAACTTATATACTAACCAATGATATTTCTGTGCTGCCAAAACCAGCCATTATTTAAACACATGTGTGCTTTCTTGAATAAAAAGCCGCCACTTCAACCCAACCTAACCTATCTTGGGGTGGTAAATTTTTATTATATGTCATAAGAAATCAGTTCATGAATTCACTGGAGATATAAAGGAAACACTCAAATTTGAAATGAATGCGTATTTGCATGCTAACATGAAAATTTTGTCAGAGTCTACCTACTGTAGATGTCTGTAAAAGTGCCTGTCTTCAAAAATAATGAACTCTCAAAAATAGTTCATTTTTTATATATCTCCTATAATAAGTGTTCTTCTAATATAAATAATATAATCTCTAATATATATAAATATATCTAATCTAATATATATAAAATAATATTTTTTATTTATTCATTTTATTCTTTAATATCTCTATAATTATAAATAATTTTTTATCATATTATTTTCAGCTGAAGATGCAAGAAATTATAATACTAAACTTCAACAAAAATCCCTAGTACTAAATGATGAACCCGATGCAGTGCAACCATTAGAATCAAATGATAATTTTGGATTTGGTTCAGATCCCAACATATTGACAAAAGACGATGTGCTTCGTGCACAAAAAGGCTTACCACCACAAAAGTACGATGCATTTGTGCTCTTCGCCGATGCAGATATTAACTATGCTATAGAGATGCTAGCAAAATTAGAAGAAAATGAAGAAAATAATTTTAAGGTAATTTTCATAAATTCTAAAATTAATCATAAAAAAAATAGTTTTTTATTCATTTTAGCTTTGCCTTAAAGATCGTGATTTACTGGCAGGAGTATCCTTCACACATGTAGCGCTTACACAGCTTATAGAGGAGCGTTGTAAACACTTAATTGTGATCTTAACGGATGAATTTATAAAGAGTCCGGAAAATAAGTTTTTAGTCAATTACACACAAGCGCTGCAAATACGTATGTTAAAGAAATTAAATCTATTGATTCAATTACTTACTTAAATCTGTATTTTTTTTAATAGAAAATAAAACTCGTAAAATTATACCTCTGCTATATGACGATAAAGTAGTTATACCAAGAACTCTTAAAATTTATACACATCTTCGATACAATGGGAATACAAACGGACTTTTCAATTTTTGGAGCAAGCTGGCTTCTTCAATACGAAATGTACAAATGCCTACAAATGCAACCTCCTCATATGCTAAAGAATTCATAAGGTTTGTTTAAAATATTGTTTGATATGTATATTTATTATACGCTAATATTAAATTGCTTTTGATTATTACAGTTGTTCATTACCTAAATCATTTGAAACAAAAATACCAACCCTACCGACACCACCAACTGAGATACCTAGCATTAATATCAATGGCAATGCATTTGTCCCGGAGGATGATATACCCAAAAAGAAGGAACGTTTTAAATACAAAAAACGTTCATCAATACATAATACTGATCACAAACTTCTCGTCAGTGATCCTAAATTAAGAAATGCACACTCAACAAGTCAATTGAGTGCCGTGAGTCGTGATGGCAGTTCAAGTATGTCAAATCTTTCTATTACGTCCAGCCCTTGTGATACGAAAAAGAAGAAAAAATGGCCTTCAAAATTATTTAAAAAAGTTTTTAGTCGCAGTACATCTAAGCTGCAGGAACCAGCTTAGATTTTATTTATAAAACTAAAAGTGCCAATTTAATTTTTTTTTTTTAAACATTATCTTAATCTCCTTAGAGTTAGACTTTCTTTATATATGAGAAAATTGTTAATAGCGATTATTTTATTGGATCAGATTTGATCAGATGCATTCCTTATAGTTCTGCATTTTAATGCTCTTAAAGTGCCCTTAAAATTACAATATAATTCAGTACATTATTTGTTAATAAAAAAATTGTTTTTATATAAAATTTAAACGATAAAATGCTTTATATAGTAATATTGTTATAGACACAACAACGAATAAAGACAATAAAATTTTTAATGTAAATAAGCCAATTTGTTTATTAATTTATTGACTCGTCCATCTTAGCTGGATCTATGGATCAGAAATAATTTTTAATTTTGTTGTGATGTGGTTTAATGATTAAAAAGGCAAAATTGGTATCAAAACGGGGCCTAGGCATTTGTGTGAACCACGACTTTTTCGTTAAATACTGCTCTAAAAATGATCGCAAAAAAAAAACAATTATTTATATTGCAATTTAACTGTATGATGGCAATTAATAAACAATTAGTGCTTAAAAGAATAATTACTTGCTACTTCGCCAGTCCATCAAACAAACTTATTTAAACAGAAATCTTATACATACTGACGAGATCAATAGGCATTATGCCAAAGAGATAGTAAACTCATCAGGATTAGTACGTAAGGAGAAATGCTTATGTGAAATATAGAACGCAATGCTTCTTAATGTAACTGGTGGTACTAACTACGGCCGGGGCTACGCCTCCGAATCACTCGTAAGCCATGACAACCAAGTATGGTTCATCACCCTCCAAAGGGACGCTACAACTAGATCCCAGCGTGTTATAATAACAACAACAAGTTAATTGGTATTGTTCAGGAAACGACTGATGAACGAATGTTATGTTTAAAATAGGTCACTGTTACACTGTCAGCAACCCAGGTTACAGCTTTTATCTAGCTAGGCTGTATGTGAGATTAATTTATACCGGCAACCCCAAGAGATCCACTTTGACCTATAGGCCTTTTGTGCTACCGCAGCTAAGCTGTAAAAATACAAAAACAAAATATAATAATAAGAGAAACCCAGATTTCCATTTGAAAAAAATTATTTATTATTATAATTATAACAGTAGGTTAGGTTAGGTTTGAAGATGAGTCGGTGTGAAAAACAATTCAGACCGCATATAGATAAAACTGCTTTTTGCCAAAACTGAGAATTTACTTGTGATAGATGAGAGCTTGATTAGTTTCTTTTAACTGGGCAATAATGGTAGTTAGAACTCCAAATCTCTTACTGATATCATATCTCAGTAAGATATGATATTGCTTATTTTGGTTCTAATCATGTGAAGTAATTCAATTTGTAGAGAGTTTATTTGTCACCTAATTTATAAATTTACAAGTATTGATTGATATAAATATATCAGCTATACCTAAGTATAACTCATGACTGTGGCTTTGCGTGCCAATGTATTTGGTATATATATGTCATGGTAGGCACTATGTTCTGGTGAGTATCCGTTACATGTACCAATCACTTCTCATCCATTTCTTATCCTAAACAAGCACAATTACACTATTCCTAGCACTTATCCTTAGCGCTTATATATGTTTTTCTATATATTTTATATCCGGCTACAGGACACCTTTTTTATAAATAAGACCTTTGTTTAATATATTTAAAATAATACATTTAATTTTATTAATTCTATTGAGAGTTTATGGAGAGTATAGAGAGAGTTAAAATATATTTTTAAAACCTCAAAACTTCTATAGTACTAATAGCCTAATAGAAATACTTTCACATGTTATCGATCAATATTTCATGCTACATCATTTTTAGAAAAATATCATAAGCGATATGTAGTCCTTATAAATGAGTGAGCTCCAAACGAACACCAGACCGCTTTTGACCTGATAAACCATATTTGGTTGTCTGTTAATCCCGGCCTCTTCTTGATGTCCGCATATTTAACTATTCTTAGGTAAACCTGTTAAAGTGTATTTGGTCGTTCTGAATGAGTAGCAACGGAACGAAAATCCAGCTTGCTTTGGAAAGATCAAAATGACATATTTCGGTTTGATAAATAATATTTTTTTATATATTATTGACCATGCTTTATAAGAAATTAAAAATATATGGTTCTTTAAAGAAGTTTAAGGAACAAAATATAAAATTATTAATATTGTAAGTACTATAATAATATTATAAGTTAGAAATATATTATAATCAGTATGTCTTTCGAACGAGTATCACTGAAACGGTTAGCAACCTATAAATAAATTTATACAGACCAACATTGCTGTTATTTCTCCGAGAATGTTACTCCTTTAAAAGTCTCCACTCGTTTTTAATTATATAAAATTGTTCTTTCCGAGTAATTTGTAACTCTCTTATAATATAAAAATAAATATTCTATAAACTATAAAAAAAAAATAAGTAAATAAAACTCAAGTATATTTTTATAATTTTTTTCATTTATTATTTTCATCATAAATAACTTTTGGTTGTTTTTTTTTTATTTTGTTATTAATTTAGTTTGTTTTCATTTTTCTCTTGAAGTTTTATATTTTAAACTTTAAATTTCACCATTTTTAAATTTGTTTATTTAAGTTTTGCGTACTTCGTTTTTAATTTTCTTATAATTTTTATGTATTTTGATGTTAGTACATGATTATTCTTATATATGTATTTAATTTAATAAGTTTGGAAATTGTGAGTTGTGTTTGTTATTCATTTATTTATTTAATTTTTATTTTTGTTTTTGTTTTTGTTTTGTATAATAATAATTAGTATTAATTATTTTTATATACTCCATTTTTGTTCTTTCATTATTTAAAATGAATTTATCAACTATTAATTATTATTATTAATAATAATACTTACACTAAGTAATACTTTCACTTTTCTTTAAATATTTTTTATTTAATTTATTTACTTTTGTTTTATAATCAAATAATAATTAAAATTTATGTTTCTATATTTTTATATAATTTATTTTTTTTTTTTACGAATTAAACAAAAACCAAAAATACAATTTAAAACAATTTAATTGATTAAAAATCTGTTCAGTTTTATAAATATGTTAACAAACTTATTTAATATAATGTTTTTATTTACTATATATATTATATTATTTATTTTGTTCCTAGTAAATTTAAATTTATTTCATTTATAATAATTTTTAATGTATGAATTTTTTTTGTTTGTTTTTTTTTTTATAATTATTGAGCTTTAGTTTTATTACTTATTACGTTTTAATGATAATAAAAATGATTTATTTTAATATTATCAATTTTATAAATTATATATATATATATACTTTATTTATTTTACTATAAATTTCATTAACATTTTTTTTTTTTAATTTTTAACTTTTAATATATATATTTATATATATTGTTTAACGTTTTGCTATCTCAATGAATTTTCTTATTAATTTTTCTCGTTTTTTTATCAATTTAACTGATTGCATTTACACCGCCAGAAATAAAAAATTCTGCGTTTTTATTAATATTTATTAGTACTTACAACTATTTTTTTATTTATTTAATAGTTTTTAGTGTATATGTGCGATAGTTTGTGTAAATGTATTTGTCTAAAATTTTTAATCTATTATTATTAATTATTATTATTTACTTTATGCATTTGAAAATCTAACTTATTTACCGTCATCAATATTATTTCTAATACTGATCAATTATTCTTTAACTCCCAACAAAGAGAAATTATCCTGTATATTCAAAATCCGGTATTGTAAGAATTATAGAAGTTTTTTAAAACCATGGAGCCCAAAAATCTAATCGAAATTTTTGAAGAAATTTTGTGGGTGTATTGAACTTGGCTCTGCATTCAAACCCTAAAAATGTAATAGATATCTTTGAAGAAATTTGGGGAGAACCAAACGAACTTGGCTCCAAGTTTGGGCTTTATAATAATAATAACGATTAAAAGGCTTACTTTTTGACACCATAAATACAGGATTCGTAGTTTGAACAAGGATACTTTAAGGTTTTATGTTTAAAATGTTCGTTAATTGTTTATTAACATGTGATTCTTAAATAATTTGTCTTTTGTTAATTCTATCTTTTATTTTTTTATTTATTGTAATTTTTTCTATAATGATTTAATTTTTTTATATTTCGAATCATTTTTATTTGCTTTTTCAGAATACATAACGTATTTTCACACATTTATAAAGCCGTGCTGCTTAGAGTAAGTCGTTGCCTTCTTTCGGTATTGATCGTATACTGATCAGCTAGTCTACGGAAGCACCAACATTATTCCTGTGGTACCACAATATGCCCTTTTAAGAGCTCAAATGGGTTTTATTGGTACACAAGGTTGCCACTCTCACCTAACTAGTCTAGAGTAAGACATCATAGCTAAATCTTACTGATTATGGAGATTCTATCAATTTTCTAAAATGTAGCCCCATAATCAAGAAATTATTAAAACAGAGTGTAAGCTTATTAATTTCATTTAAATGATTGTTAATAAAAATAATTAAATTTTGAAATATTTTAATAAAATATAAAACATTGCTCTGAAGAATAATGTTATATACAAGGCATACTATATGTCTAAATATTTGGCATATGGTATATTTATCATATTATAATAACTGTATAAAATTTTAATATAAATTTCATAACCCATGCTTCCTGGAGAGAGGTTAAAGTGGATAATCTAAACTGAACATATTATCCATTAAAAATTACGTTTAATGGATGTATTAATCTATTGATACTAGCAAAAAATCTAGTAAACTACATAGATTTCAATAGTTCTTTAACCTCTAATATATTTAATCCTCATCTATGTTAGAT